ATGAGATGTGACGCACGTGACCTGAGGAATGTCATAAGAAACATAAGAAGGAGGAACACTGTAGAAGCCTACTGGCCCATGCGAGGGCAGGTCCTTATCAAAACAACCTCTGCCTATGATGAGGACGGGTAGACGATGAAAATCATGTGACTCCTGTGTTTGTTGGGTTGGGTGCTGCTTAAGTAAATCATGTATGCCAATGTTTTTGAAATTTTGTAGTTTCCAGAGTTGCGTTCTATAGTGTCGGTGATGGCGATTAGTGAGGCTTTAGGCACCGTGGGCCCGTCTGAGGTTGGTTCGGTGAGAACGAGTTGTGCTCGTTCCAGTTTCATCAAATGCCCCGTGGGTCTCTGTGGAGGACACAGGCGTACCTTACATCGTCTCTGTTAGAGGCATTTCGATGCTCATTCAGGCGGACTGCAAGATCTCTGCCTGTCTCGCCTACAGTGAGACAGAGGCTCACTGAAAACCACGACTCCCTTTACCTCTTCTAGATTTCATCAATCTAGTGGAACTGTGTGTTAATTTCAACTTCTTCAAGTATCAGGACAAACTGTTACAACAATGCTTTGGGATGGCAATGGGCAGCCCGCTCAGTGCTGTGCTTGCCAACCTCTTCATGGAAAACTTGGAGACAAAAGAAATTCAGCACCCTCTTCCCCAAAACCGTTACCTGGCTAAGATTACGTTGATGATATATTGGTTTTCTATCCCAGGGCGTCTCAATATCCAGGCCCTTCTCAACAAGATCAATGGGAGTTGACCATTAATAAAGTTTACACTTGAACTCGAAAATGATGGCAAACTTCCTTTCCTCGAAATTCTACTGTGGGAGATCTCCCCACAGTGACAAACTTCTCTTCAAAGTGTATAGAAAACCTACCAACAAGGACGATCTTATACACTTTTATTCACACCAAGACACCCGTACTAAGAGAGGGTCCTCATTGGCTTCTTCTTGAGAGTCTTCGCATCTCCAGCCCTTGTTTTCTAGAAGAAGAATGCATTACATAACACAAGCCTTTACACGTCTTCAGTTCCCATCTTTCTTCATCCGAGATTGCAGACTCAAGGCACAAGCTATCCTCAACAAACCGCCCATGGAACATCCCCCTAAGCAGTTCATAGTACTCCATGTGGTGATGTTGCCTCGAATGCTCGCCGGGCACTTGCTATGAGTAACATCAACGTTTCCACCATAAACACATCCTCTATCAAAGACCTCACTACGAAACGCAGCCCCAAAACCTCTAACTTCTACAGCAGGCGTCTACACTACCCCCTGTGGGTTCTGTCCCAAGAAATATGTAGGCGAGACAGGCAGAGATCTTGCAGTCCGCCTGAATGAGCATCGAAATGCCTCTAACAGAGACGATGTAAGGTACGCCTGTGTCCTCCACAGAGACTCCACGGGGCATTTGATGAACTGGAACGAGGCACAACTCGTTCTCACCGAACCAGACCTCAGACGCCGACGGTGCCTAGAAGCCTCACTAATCGCCGTCACCGACACTATAGAACGCAACACTGGAAACTACAAAATTTCAAAAACATTGGCATACATGATACTTAAGCAGCACCAACCCAACAACACAGGAGTCACATGATTTCATCGTCTACCCGTCCTAATCATAGGCAAGGTTTTTTTTGATAAGGACCTTCCTCGCATGGGCCAGTAGGCCTTCTACAGTGTTCCTCCATTCTTATGTTCTTATGACATTCCTCAGGTCACGTGCGTCACATCTCACTCTCCGCCTATATGTATAATGTCTTTCTACCTCTGTATGTTAGAAGTGATCAAGGTCCCAGGACCGAAACGTTTTCTAATAAATATGTTATAGTGTTTGCTTACGTGTCTTTCTAAACCAACTCATATTACTACTCTGCGACTTCACTGTTTTCTCGCCAAAACCCATACCACTAACTATTCCTAGTTTAAAGACCTAACAGCTCCTTCCACTGCGTCGGCCAGTGCTTCCACCCCAAACCTAGATAAGTGAACCCCAACCCTGGCATACATGTCATTTCTGCCATAAAAGAGGACCCAGTTGTCAATTAATATTACCGCATTTTCCTGACAGTATTTGTCAAGCCAGCAATTGACACCAATTGCTCTGGACAACCATTCATTTCCAACACCTCTCCTTGGCAAAATACCACATATATCAGGGTTCCCACCCTTCCTCCTAATTATCTCTATTGCTGACCTATACCTGCTAATCAGGTCCTCACTCCTACGTCTGCCAACATCGTTGCCTCCAGCACTTAGACAGATAATAGGATTGCTCCCATTACCTCTCATGATGTCATCCAGATGGCTAACAGTATCCTTCATCCCAGCCCCAGGAAAACACACTCTCTGCCTCCTACTCTTACCATTCAAGCAGAATGCCCTATCCATGTACCTAATCTGGCTATTCCCAACAACAACAATGTTTTTACCTTTCTTGGCAACGTCCGTCGTGATGTTCCCTGTAGTCGACTCACATTCGTTAGGTAGCACTACATCTTCACTTGTGGAATTCGTCAAGACGTTCTCGATGGTTTTCGTTGGGGTTTCTAGAGGTGTCTCACTCACGTCAGCCAATGCTTCCTTGGTGCTCTTTGTGACATTCCCAGTAGAACATCCACATTCGTCAGGTAGCACCGAAAATGGGTTGGAAGTTTCCACAGTAGTCTTCTGAGTCCTCGTTGTTTCTGCCTCTCCAACAGTCTTCTTGATCCTCAGCTTGGTTCCATATTGCCTGGCCACTGACCAAGCTCCCCTCTTAACATGGGGACTCACAACAGGGAGATTGCTTCGAATACTCTTTTTCTCCTCCGTTAATCGCCGTATCTTCTGCTTAGCAACCCTAAGCTCTTCTTTCAGCTGCTGGCTGCTGGTACAGATTCACAGAGATCACACAAACAGGTCTTCACAGAGCTAAGTACACGTCACCACTGAACTAAGTACACATCACCAAGAGAGAACCCTCAGTAATGAATTTAAATTAGACAAGTTTGGTTTTAGAAAGGACATAGGAAAGTATTGGTTTGGAAATAGGGTAGTTGATGAGTGGAACAGTCTACCTAGTTGGGTTATTGAGGCTAGGACTTTTGTTAGTTTCAAATTCAGGTTGGATAAATATATGAGTGAGAGGTGATGGATTTGAGTGGGACTTGCAAATGAGTGGATAGAGTTATCAGAGCTTATTTCTTGAGTAGCATTGAAAATTAGGTTGGGAAAATGTTTTGTTAGTGGGATGAATTGTAAAGAACCTGCGTAGTATGGGCCAACATGCCTGCTGCAGTGATCCTCCTTTCTTATGTTCTTATTCTTCACAACCATTTCACTAGTGACTGTGGTATTACATATTTTATCTTCTTCAGGCCCACTATAAAAATTAATTACTGGAATATTGTTAGTGTCTTCCTGCGTAAAAACTGAGGGAAAATAATTTTTTAAAATCGAGCACGATTCATTCTCTTTGTCAGTAAGATGCCCATAGTTGTTTTTAAGGGAACCTATCTTATCTCTAACTTTTGCTCTATAGACCTGGAAGAAACTTTTTGGGTTAGTTTTAGAATCCCTAGCAACTTTAATTTCATAGTCTCTTTTACCTTTTTTTATCCCCTTTTTAATGTCCCTCTTAATGTCAATATACTGATTCATAAGATGACCCTCACCTCTTTCGATATGCCTATAAATACCCTTCTTATGCCCTAGTAGATATTTCAGACTATTATTAATCCATTTTGGGCCATTTCTATTTGATCTAATTTCTTTATACGGGATAAACGTTCTTCGAGCAGCATGTATAGTGTTCAGAAAACTGTCATTTTGATAGCTCTCTTCGTTACCCCAGTCAACAGATGATAAGTGTTCTCTAAGCTCATGGTTGTTACCTTGTCTCCCCTGCTGAGTAAACTACCAACAAACACTATGGTTGTTACATTGTCTCTCCTGCTGAGTAAACTACCAACAAACACTATGGTTGTTACATTGTCTCTCCTGCTGAGTAAACTACCAACAAACACTATGGTTGTTACCTTGTCTCTCCTGCTGAGTAAACTACCAACAAACACTATGGTTGTTACCTTGTCTCTCCTGCTGAGTAAACTACCAACAAACACTATGGTTGTTACCTTGTCTCTCCTGCTGAGTAAACTACCAACAAACACTATGGTTGTTACCTTGTCTCTCCTGCTGAGTAAACTACCAACAAACACTATGGTTGTTACCTTGTCTCTCCTGCTGAGTAAACTACGAACAAACACTATGGTTGTTACCTTGTCTCTCCTGCTGAGTAAACTGCGAACAAACACTATGGTTGTTACCTTGTCTCTCCTGCTGAGTAAACTAGCAACAAACACTATGGTTGTTACCTTGTCACTCCTGCTGAGTAAACTACGAACAAACACTATGGCTGTTGCCTTGTCTCTCTTGCTGAGTAAACTACCAACAAACACTATGGTTGTTACCTTGTCTCTCCTGCTGAGTAAACTACGAGCACACACTATGGTTGTTACCTTGTCTCTCCTGCTGAGTAAACTACCAACAAACACTATGGTTGTTACCTTGTCTCTCCTGCTGAGTAAACTACGAACAAACACTATGGTTGTTACCTTGTCTCTCCTGCTGAGTAAACTACCAACAAACACTATGGTTGTTACCATGTCTCTCCTGCTGAGTAAACTACCAACAAACACTATGGTTGTTACCTTGTCTCTCCTGCTGAGTAAATACCAACAAACACTATGGCTGTTACCTTGTCTCTCCTGCTGAGTAAACTACCCAACAAACACTATGGCTGTTACCTTGTCTCTCCTGCTGAGTAAACTACCAACAAACACTATGGTTGTTACCTTGTCTCTCCTGCTGAGTAAACTACCAACAAACACTATGGTTGTTACCTTGTCTCTCCTGCTGAGTAAACTACCAACAAACACTATGGTTGTTACCTTGTCTCTCCTGCTGAGTAAACTACCAACAAACACTATGGTTGTTACCTTGTCTCTGCTCATAAAGCTTCAACAGCTGCTGGACCATCAACTTTACCATTAACCAACAGTGGCAGTTCATCCATTTGAATAAGCTGAAAATAATCAGGAATAAATTACTAGAGCGTTATTACAGTTGTATATTCTCGTTTAATTCAGTAAATTACTAGAGTGTTATGTCCTGGTTTAATTCAACATGAAAAAATATAGAAGACTCGGAGCGTATATATTGAACAAAGTAGTAACATATCTATCATATGTATGCTGTAATAATGTTGGTAGAATTACCGACAGTATGTAAAGTAAAAGGACACAAGTGCTACTAATGTGACATTTTATTGTGGCAACGTTTCGCTCTCCAGGAGCTTTGTCAAGCCGTTACAAACAGTACATGGACACAGGGTATATATAGTCTCAGAGTTCCTCTATACTCAAGAAGCCTCTCTTCGACCCCGCCTGGGTGGAGAATTTATATTCTACAAACATCACATCCTTTTCACAATTCTGTCGCATCATTTGAAAATCAAGCCTGTGAATGGTGCAATAAATGACTTCTCGAAGTTAGCTTTAGCAACCGTCGTTAAGACCTGCCTGCAGGTCAAATTTACGGCAATCCATTCTCTGAATGACTCCTTCATTGTCTTCTGCACAGACGACACGGAAGCATCAAAACTAATGGACGACTCTCCAATCAGGACTCTACAAACACAACAATTCACTCTATCCCCGTCTCCATTCTTGAAGTCGAAACGTTCGGTCTTTGTGAAAAGACTGGACAATATCGTCACTCTCTCTCTAGTGAAGCACTAAAGACATCTATTGAGGAACAAAACACCTGGGCCGGAAGACAGTATGTCCAAGATCCCCAACGCCTCATCATGCTATAAGATTTTTTTTTTATTTAAAACGTCGTATAACAACATATTAAATTATATAAAATCCATCCCTTTATTAAACAGGTATACAAAACATAATACATGAACATAATACACCTTATAAGGTACGCTGCAGCACATATCCGATATTTACCCTAAGCCAACTAGTATTCCCTAAACCATACATGATGAAATATCATAAAAAAGGATACAACAATACGTATAACATTATAACAAAAATTAAAGCCTTAAACATTTTTTTTTTTTTTTTATAATTTAAAAAATATACAATACATTAAATAATCATAGGATTACCTATCATTACATTCATAATAAGTATAATTACAATTGTCAATATAACATAGAAACGGTTATAAATTTCGTCAGTCCCCTATTCATTATGTACCTATCCCAAGTAACAAGAATATACAAATTCTTCGTTACCTTAATTAAAACCCTCTTATATACATTATAAACAAAGAGAAACTATTCATCAATAATATGCCTTAGTGTTTGATTTTATGTCAATAAAACCTTTGTAAAGACATAATACATAAACAAGTGCATATATAACAAAATATCCAAAAACGAACGATATGTAATGAAACTGTAGTCAATTTACTTGACAACTGCAAAGATACAAAATATTCAGTACATTACACAAAGGGTTCCACTTAATAGCATGAGATAATTCTGAATTGCCAAACAAGTAACATTATGCAACATACACACACCACATTCTTATCACATATACACACACACATGAGAGATTATGTACACATAATACAAAATTGTTACCCTCATATCTGATTTACATTCCAAAACATATATCCCAGGAGACCCCAAGCAGAACGTTACCAGGTATCATCCACATGGCTGATACAAGGAAAATATAAAATGAAAACTATATATAAGTTGCTCAAGTGCTTTTACATAACACCTGTCATGCAGTTCACGAGTTTGCTTCACAAGAGACCCACTCTCTTATCACGTCAATTTAAGAACAAAAATTAGTTTCCAAGAAATAGTATATAATTTGTTTGAATAAAACATCATCCAAACTAACGATCATAAACCCATCATTTATACATTAAACCACACCCATACCAATCGTATGCCACCTTCACTCACACATATTCAAGAAGCCAGCCTCGTGTACCCTTTAAAGGTATTAACTCCCATAAATCCCTGACCTTGAATCTGCAATATCCCTTTGAAAATAAGAAAAACCATCTATTTCCCGTAATGTCTTTATTTCTCTGTTGTGTACCATAAAATATCGCTACAGTGCTCTGATTCTCTCCCCACAGATAAATGCCTATATACCCATGACGTATATACGAAATCCGTCACTAAAAATCCGATTGCATTCTGTACCGGTGTTTCGACCCCCCCCACATCTAAACTTAAGCTCTTAAGACACTAAACCACCCCCACCACATTCTTAATAACCTTACCAAACCACAAACTCTGACATGTTTCGAAGAACCTAATCTTCTCAAATGGACCATTAACAAAACCTATATTTGACTCCAAAAGTCAGAAGAGAAGTTTTAAAGTAGGATATGAAGTTCTTGTACTTTTGCCTATCAAGTCAAATAAATTTATTATAGCATGAAAGGTCCATATAAAGTATTAAAATTTGTGTGAAAAGTTGACTTACCCATAAAGTCAAGGGAAAACCTAAGCTTATCATATCAACATCCTTAAAATATTACCCGGAAGAAATTCGGTAACTGCCTTAACAACTTATGACTTAGTTTTTTCCACACGAAACTTGATAAGACAACTGAAGAAAGTAAGGGTGTGCGTAAGTGATACCTCTAACTTAGACATATGATGGAAGAAAATCTACATGACTTGGTGACCTTGACCACTCGGATCTGCAAACCATCATTAATATTAATGAATCTTTGGATGACACATAAGAGACATGAACACTTAAATGTGTGATAACTTTTTTCAGACGTCCTTTACTGATATTCCAGTGTTACCTCCACTGTAGTCCATAAGAATTGACTTATTAACGGACAATACCTATCAACGGAAATTATACCCATTCCAGTTCACCTTAGGGATGCATTTGACCGAAGAGGTAGACACAATAATTAAAACTAATGATCATTGAACCTCAGTATCTGCATAATGCTCACCAGTAGTCAATGTAATGAAGGAGAATAAATTCATAGAGACATGCTATTGACATCAGAGGCCTAATTCTGTAACTCGTGGATGCTGACCTATGCCTTAAAAGATAGCGGATCTACACAAATCTTTTGACGCTTCCTTCTTGTACAGAGATATGAAATGCGGTCAGGGCTATCAAGTACTTTAGATGCTTCTTCTAAGCCGTACACCGCTTTTTCCCTACACACCAAGGACGAAGCAGTATAGAACTATGCCATTTCTGTTTAGGTAACTGCCCTGTGCTAACCCTACGTGAACTGTTGAGAAAGGTCTATGGTAATATCCAAATGTTTCAGTTTATTTTGATAACATTTACGTAACTGACATCTACGTGGGCGACATTAACCAAACATTAACCTCAGTTTGCGTAGGTTACGCTCACATTTCCTCATTGCCAAGCCGAAGAAACTTCCTTGGGTATAACAAGATTAGATCTCTTGTACTGATACTTTCTATAACCTCTGCACCTCTCCCCCAGTAAATAAAGCTTTAGTAAATTTAAATTTCCCCCAAAACCAAGAAACTCATGCGTAAGCCTTTCTTGGTTCTGAAATTTTATGCCGGTTTAATCCCGAATCTTGCTGATCTTACAGGCATCACTATCGGACTCCTTAAAAGTCTGTGAAGAACTCTGAACTTTCCGACGTAGCTCGGAAAAGTTTAAGGAGATTTCACAGTATCTTTGCGAAAGACCCTATACTTAAGATCCATATATTAATAAAACATTTTAGTTTGAGAACTGATGCCACCGAATACTGGCTCTAGGTCAGTGTACTACAATACCATGATGGTACTACCCCTTCCCTGTATGCCTTCTAAGCCCGGAAACTCCTTCTGCAGAAACAAGTTACTCCACAATAGAAAAGAATGTTTTAGCCCTTGTGTGGGGTATCACCAAACTTAATTTATTTGCTGAAACAGAATTCTTTTAAGAAACGACCACAACCCTTGATATACATAGAAACTTTTAAGGGAACCAAAATTCGCCTCTTGAGTGGTACATTGGAGCTCTCCAGGCTTTTAAAGTTCCGAATAGTGTAATCAGTGGTTCATCCAATTATTTCTCTGACTGGTTAATCGTGACAGTCAGTAAAGATTTTTGTTTGCCGTATGCCCTTCCACATGTTAGCACTTTTCTCGCCCATTTCATCTTATACTCCATGACTATAAGTCTTGGTATGGGGGAGTGTGAGGGAATAGTTCAATAGCTAGGAGTAGAGATATAGTAACGATAGTTTCATACCGCTACTAGTTTAAATGGTAGGGTAAGTCACGCTCCCCAGTTTTCCCCCCCCGCCATTTCTCCCCCTCCTCTGAAGTGGTAGTTCATTGCAGGCTACTAGTTAAAAAGTAGGTAATCACTCTCACCCTCCCGATTTTTCCCGCCTTTTCTCCCCACCCTTAAAAAGTGATAGTTTGATTGCCGCTGCTTGTTAACGTAGGTCAGTCTAGCTCCCAAGCTATTCCATCCCCTCTCCCTCTTTCCCCCCCCCGAAGGTGGCGTGTGGGCTCTGTCCAAACAGTAAATCTCTAGACTCACAGCTCCCCACACTATGGAAGTACACTGCCAGCCATGTATTCTATATTTATTGGTTTAAAAGCTTCACTTTTGACCATAATAAACTTAGTCTTTTTATCCTTGCTCTATGGTTGACTGTTGTAATAATCACTACATCTTTTTAGGTATCAAACTTACCATGGAGAGTGATTATTTTAAGCAGTAGGTAACCTTCTGTCTTTCAGCTATGATGTCAGAGAGGGTCACCTGGCAATCACGAGCAGAACGGATGGAGTAGGACAAACGTTCCAGAGACTCTCCATTTAGTATGAACTACACTGTGAAAATTAAAAACCATACTAGATGTATACTAAACCTCTAGTACACAATCCCGTTACCATTTTAAGAACACCATAGATCAGGCATATTACAACCATATACTAACCCAAACCATATACAAATAACCTATAAACCCTCCTTTTATAAGATAAACATAATTGCCAGTGCAGACACTAGCTGACACTTCTACCCCCCC